TTTGAGAGTCTGGTTGTGTGCGTGTGTGTGTGTGTATGTGTGTATGTTAGCGTCTATACACAATACCAGTCGTAACTCAGAATTATCTAAAAGGCTTATATCATACTCTGGTCACCAAGGTTTAATAACCCAAGACAAAGCCCTAAGCGAGACCACGTAAGTCCGTAAGCAAGTATGATTTAGGACCGGTATTGCGTATAAACGTTGATACACACGTACACACGCACACATACACTAGAACAAAAGTAACAGGGTCAATACGAAAGATAATTAGCCAAACCATTCTATATTTGTCTAGGCCTTTTGAATTTATTTTGCATAATTGAGTAAATATATGAGATTTAAGATAGAGCCGGATGGTAATCTTGGCCTAATGTTAACGTGAGACTGATGATGTCCACCATGCTATGGACGGAAGCTCCGCCAGTTTTCACCCGAAAAGAGCGAGGTCTCGTGGATTGTGTCACTCCAACGTAGTATTAAAGCCAAACGGCTCCAGTACAACGGGAATCAGTCGTCCTCTTTTGGTGAGGCCGACCATGGAACCTCTTCTTCGTGCGCTTTCATACGAAATGTTGGTCTCCGCAATAATATTATCTCGGGGGATTCATCGAAACCCAATTACTCTTCGTATCTATGACATTGAACTCCTCTTTTAGGTAGAGCATAATTGGCTGCGTTTTTTCTTGAGCTTATGATGTCCGTCAAGTGGCAAACGAAAGTTTAGTACAGATTCATTGCGTTCTCACGACTGTCTTCAATCCAAGGCCATCATCTTTCTCTTTCCAGCTAGATCACTGACTCACGAATTCCTTTCAGCCAATATTGCCTTTAAAATATAAAATTACGTTTAATCTCTGAGGGATTTTTCCTTCGACTAACCGTTCTTATCGTTCTGGTTTCCCCATCTTTGAGTAGGCATGGGACGCCCAGGGAAAGGTCACTATTGGACTATAGACCCCACTGCCGAGCTGATGTTCCAAGAGGGCGCTTCACGTCGCAGGCCTCGAGGTTTCCGGCGCAAGGTGGCCGCCAACTCCTCGGTCGTCTCCATCGCGGCGGCCGCAGCCGCCGTCAACTCTTCGGTGGCAGTTGCCGCGGCAGCGGCCGCAGCAGCAGCTGCCGCAGCCGCAGCCGCGTCTACCAGTGGCGGCGGCATCACAGCCGGTTCCCTTGCCTACCAGCCCGGAGTGCCATTGTCTCACGCGCTCACGGGTCTCTCGGTCGACCATTCTGGTCATTCTCTCCTCTCCGGTACCATGCAACACGCACACACGCATTCACACCAACATCCACATGCTCCAACCCACCTACACGCACACACTCACCCGTCCCAGCACATGCACATACATCCGCACACACAAGCACACTCCAATTGTCATGAGCAGGCTCAAACGCACATGCCGCTGCACTCGGTCGTCCACAACCCGGCCGCCAGTCTGATACATTCACATGCACAGTCGTACGCCTCCGGGACTGGTCAACTGGGCCCTCCTGGCCAAGGGCTTTCGGTACACGCCGCTCACATGCAGCCACGCGGAGCCGGCCAGCCCACAATCTATGGGCATCAGGGACAGCAGGCCTTGCAGACTGGTTTTCCCGGCCACTTGGCCTCCCGGTATCCCCCGGTTTCCTATCCCACACCGTCAGCCTCACTCGCCTCGTCGCATTCTGCCTCCAGTCTGCTCTCCTCGTCTGCCGGCCCCTTCGGGCCGAGCACATCTGCCTCCAATACCATCGCCTCCGTCGGTGTCTACCAAACTTCCGGCTCCCTCCTACCCCCCCTCACGGGACTCACATCCTCCGGCGATCTCCTGCGAGGCGCCTCCGATCTGGTTTCCGGTTTCTCGGCCCTACCAACCCCTTTGCTGACCAATCCCAGTTGCCTTGGCTCGTCCGGTTGCCACACAACCGCACTCTCCATCAGCACTGGTCTCGCCTTGACGCCCACGTCGAGAGCGACCCCTACACAGACGACAACACCTGCCGGAACAGTCATTCCAAGCAACAACAACAACAACAACAATAGCAACAACAGCAATGGTAGCAGCAATGGCAGTAGCAACAGTAGTGCCTTAAGCAGTTACGAGTACAATCTTTCTGTTTGTTCCAGTTTGGGTTTGTT